GGGGGGGGGGTGCGGTGTTGAACTGCAAAGATTGAGAACTTCTGTTCTAAAGGATATATCTTAGAAAGAAAAAAAATAACCTTAAAAGAATACTTGAGATGCAAGAAGAAAAGATAGCCAAAAAGAAGACATGGAGGGTAATGCATTTACGTAAATCTCAATAAATAGTCTGTATAAAATAATAATCTATAATATTCTAATTTGTTAGGATAAAAATGCATAGTACTAAAATGCTGTAAACAACCATGTGTAAGTTGGAAGTACAATCATAAGTTGAAGTATTCTGAAATCCTTGTACTTTTCTAAAGGGAGTTTAAGATATTAAACTTGGTTAGGTAGGCATGGTAAAATTTCAAATGTAATCATTAAAAGATTAGAATTTAAATTTTAAAAATGAAGGGAACAAGAAATAAGGAGAGGAAAAGTCCCAATTAATTAGAAAAAAGGCAAGAAAGAAAACAAAAGCATAAGAAAAATAGGAAAAAATTAAAATGTATAAAGATTCGCTACATGATGGAGAAAAAGTCCAAAATACTGATATGTCTAAATGACCTTAACCCTCCATTTAAAAAAACTGTCAGGTTGAATTTTAAATTAGCCAACTATATGCTATTTATCAAAACCCTAAAAACATTAAAAAAAAAAAAATAGAACTAAAAAGGTGGGGAAAGATAAACCAGGTGAATATTATCAAAAGAAAGCTATCAAAACTATATTTATGTCAGCAAAAAGAAAATTGAAGAAAAAAGATGTTAGTGATATAGCATATCACTTCATGATTTTTAAAAAATTATTTAATTCAACAGGAAGACATAACAATTTCAAATTTAAAATAAGAAAAATTCTTAATCTCTTCAAAAGCCTTTAATAATTTTCCAAAGAAGGTTTATAAGCATGTTCTTATAAAATATCCTTCAATAAGATGCACTTCAAATTTAAATACCTAAGATCTATGTATTTTAAATTTTATTTTTTAGATTGCAGGAAACAGATGGGGAAAATATAACTGCCTCAGCAATTACACAGCATTTATGAAGACCTGAAATATCATTTGTCATTGTTAAAGATACAAAAGCCTACCAAGGTATCTAAAAGCTGTTGTAACAACCTAATTACCTTATCTTTTATTCTGTAATAACCCTATCATTTTAATGACTCCGTTTGTCCTTTATCATCTCTGCTTCTACTGCTGCTATCTTTTCTCAGTGCTTCCTCCAATCAAAACACCTAAGACTCTGTAGTGGGTATCATGATGCATAGCCCAGATCTCCCTTTGCATCTCCTTGGAGTGTTGGCTGCTGACATTTCACAGCCAAGTCCCTCTTCTGTAACTGTGGAAGAAGAAAGCGGCCATGCACAGGGTTGTGCTCCCTACCTGAGAAAGGTCCATGACTGGTCATTGTGGGCCATCCCTCTTGTCTCAAGTGAGGCAACTCTGAAGCACCATCCCAGCTTCAGAACTCATGATTTGCTGAAATCTCTATTACAAGGGCATTACACTTGAACTTCTCTGTATTCCTAATTTTGCTTCCTAAACTCCTACCAGATATTGTTCCCAAGAACACACTAATAAACCTACTGCTTATGATCAGATTCTCAGAGTCTGTTTCCAATGGAATGCTCTCTGCTACAGAATCTGATTGGGTCAATTAGATATTATCCCATTATTCAATACCTGATGTCCCTAATAGGATGTTTGTGATGATGGCATAAACTCCTGGTTTTCTTTATGTCTATTCTCTACGTGGTAGACTTTTGCCAAGGTGCTGCTTTTTGTTTCAAACATATATGGCCAGAGTAGAAGTGTCAGTTGCCTAAAACATGGTGTGTGTTTTTATGTGTTTGCTTTAATAAGAAACAAAAATTATACTGTGGGCATAGATGCTTAGGTCTCATGGACTTGCAGTGAGATAGCACATTTAAAAGACTAACAAAGGCCTTGAATTTGGAGAGTGTTCAATAATGGAAATTATCATATTTACCCAACTTTGAATTGAATATTTTCATAGAATTTGCCCAGGTCTGACTTATATAATCTAATAAGGGAGTAGAAATACTACTTCTAAACTACCATAAAACTATAGCATTTTTGAACACAGGGCAATGGTCAAATTCAGGGATAAGAGTCCTAAGTTGGAAGCCTCTATGATCAGCACAAATGCCCATCAAATTCCACAGAGCCATTTATTGGGCACTGAAATATGGCCACCATCTCCATTGAAATTGTTTCATACACATAGAAGCTGGAGACAAGAGTATAGAATGCTGCTCCAGAAAATGTCACATTTCAATGACCATGTTTGCCAGCTCATACAAAACCAAGAAAATGCATAAAACATTTACCTTCCCAAGTATGCAAGTGTACTTAATTTGCAAAACCTAATTCACGTACAGAACACTAGCTGCAAGGGAGTCTAAAAATGTCATTGGCAGTGCTACAACCTTTGTAGAACAGAAAGGCACAGTAGAAGGAGTGTAGGTTTGGAGGTGAAAGAGTCCATCTATATGAATCACCATTGTAGCAAACAGCACCATAAAATCTAGAAAAAACTTGATCATCAATGGACAGCTGAGCAAGAATTCAATTTAACTCCCACAACTAACTGACTTTTTGTACTCATTCAACTAACCAGATTCTATGTAATAACCTTTCACCTTTGACGTTGGTTTCTCATGTATGTATCTATAACTAACTATTTTTAAAATTTATTTTAGGATATGGTAAACACAAGTAAATTATATAATTGGTAGGTTACTCATAATGTTTCTTTGCTTTTATTTAGTTTTGGTGGTCAGTATATAACTTCATGTCTGTACACATGTTTAAAACCAAAAAATATTGAGCTAATGGAATGAAAACAAGGTCAGCCAGTTCTGCTGTAAAGATACCGTTCTGGCAATAAAAGTATTTCTTTGAGATAAACATACAATCCTATGAGAAAGAAATAATAAAATCTAAAGCCAAACAAATTGCAACTTATTACTTCACAGTACTATTTATAGTTTTCTATCCAGTGATAAGTTCTAAGGTGCTTTTTAATATACTAAACATTATTGAAATAATTTCAACACTTAGTTGGTGTATTTATGTACTATAACTGACACTCAAACCAGAATAGTTATAAAACCATACCAATTGGTGCCCACCTTGACACTACTAATAAATGTCAAAGCTCATGCATTCCCTGATTAGCCCAAATATATTAGTTTTCAGTTGAGAAATAGGTTTAAAGAGTCTTTGTGTAGTTGATTCTCAGAAACATGGTCATCTAGATTATCAGAGACCAAGATTATACATTGTATGAGAAGAATAAAACTTTATCCTGCAGACAGAGGCTCCCATTATTTATCAAAGATAATGCAATTTATATTCTATACCAGATCCTACCCCCTTGCAAGTTTGGGAGAAATATCGATTGTGTCTCTTATTTCTGAAGCCACATTAGGAAGATTCTCCCTCTCTCATCCCCTGGCCAGCAGGTATAAGCAAGTGACTCTGTTTGAGTCAATCAGCTTCTACCATACGTAACTTCCTTTGTTGGTAATCCAATGAAAAAGGCTTGCTATCTTTTCTGCTTACTTCTAATCATAGGCCACTATAGGGATTTTTTTAATCACACAAAACAAACACTTCACACACCACAGCATTCAGATGGCAAAAAGTAAATGGGATAAACCACAGGAAAGAAAGAACTAGATTAAAACAGGGTCATAAAGCATCAAATATACTAGTATAATGAACATTGCCATTGCTTTTCTAATTTATAAAAACCATCTCACCTCAAGATGGCAGCAATATGTGATGGCTATTACACATATTTCAATAACAAAAGGTTTTATTGAAATCCCATGACCCACAGTATATAGTAAAAGGCAAAAAATATATAAGTAGCCATGCTGCTAATTTTTACTTCATTGTGATCTTTTACTAAAATTGCTAATCCTCAAAATTGCTTTCATTTGGGATTTTTTTAAAAATGTAAAGAATAGGCACTAATGCTAAAACAAAGAAGTAAATTAATTTATAAAATACTTCTCAAAAATATTAAAAAATTCAAATTAGCGATATAACCAAACATTAAACTGAAGAAATTGAAATGTTATGTTATGATGAATAATAGACACAAAGGTGTCCAGCCACCCTTGTAATTAAAAAAAAAAATCAAAAACAAGATAACTATTTTAAATTTACAAAATTAGTTTTAGAGCATAAATATATTTAGGGTTGAATAATATTTAATGAAATAATTAGTCTTTTACAGTGTTATTAGGAATGCAAATAATCAAAATCTCCCTGGAAAGTAAACTGTCAATATGTTATCAAGAACTTTTGACTCAGTAATTCCATTTCTAAGAATCTACTCCAAGGTTCAGAAATGCAGTTGATGGATTTATTATAAGGATGTTTACAGACATGTTATTTATAACTTTAAAAAATGGAGAAACTTCCTAAATATTTCATAATGTGTTGAAGGTCAAATAAATTATAGTGCAGCCATATGCTGTTAATGTCAACCATTTAAAAAAAATGTTTCCTGTGAATGTTTAACAACATTCATAGGGGAAATATTCACATTTTAAATAGAAAAGTTTGAAAGTAGATTATGGACATTCACTCAATATATATTTATTGAGTGTCTGTAATGTGCAATGCATTATCATGTACTAGGCAACACACACACACACACACACACACACACAAATCACAACTATAGGTGAAAATTTCTTCTACCGTAACTGCAATATATAATGCTGGACCTAAAAAAATTTTAATACAGGGATGGTATATGTACACTAAACCCTCACTCACTGTAAAAGAAAGCGAATGGATTACATCTAAAGTTGATAAATTGGTAAATAATGGCATAGTTGTAATATATTGAATTAATAAGAAAACTATTGAGAAAGTGAAAAACATTTGTATATGGTTTCTTCTGAGAAGTTGAAACTGCGATAGGGTTGGGGCATCAGTGAAGCAGAGGTTCTTGCTTTTTGTTATAAGGCCTACTACACTATTTGATTTTCATGAACATATATTTGTACTTTCATTTTATAAACAGAATGCCCTTTTAAAAGCTGGCAGTACATGGGAGACCAATAAATAGCACTACTCTTTCTCTCTCGAATGGGAACTGAGAAATAAACGAAGGAGTCAGACAGCTGGCCATAAAATATCAACTTCATTAAAAGTTTAATTGAAGAATGTGACCTATGTATCTAACACAACAGGCTTGTTAATATTTCACCACTAAATTAGCCTTTATCCACCCAATAGCTTAGCTGTAAAACAGCAGGCAGACAGAGCGGAACAGAATGCATGCGTGCTGTACCACTGGGCTGACACTAAAACTCAAAAGGGAAGGAGTTGAAGCAAATGTATTTTGTTTCTTCTAGAGTCCTGATCATGTCTATAAAATCTCTCACTAGACATCTACTAATCAAACATATATAATACATATGTTATGTAATAGATACTTTGCTACATGCCATGCTAAGCCCAACAAACAGTAAGACAAGACTGCTGTCCTCAATAGCTCACAGTCTGCTGGGAGAGACATTTCGCATGTAAAGCATGTAAGGTAGACATGTATACAAATAATTAGGCAGGATGCTGCATATCATTCTGAATAATTCCCTCCAGTTCTAAGAACCTGTGCTGGGGAGATGTTTCAGTTCATCAATTATTTGTCCATATGAAGATAGCAGTGATTTTTTTTTAATTTTCCTTTAATCTTGGCATATAATATTTGTATAATCTAAATACAGCTGTAATTGTCTAACTTATATTCTTCAGCTGCCTGTCTCCCTTTATTACTTTTGAAATCTGTTCTCTGGAACAGGTTTTTCATATGTAGATTTAAAATATCCTTGTTTTCCATATATTTGTTTTCTTAGTGGCAATTTTTAAATTTATTGACATTAAGTCTCCCGACAATAAAATTGATCTTATTCTTTTATTTTCCAGGGACTTTTCCTTGTTGATATTGACCATGAACATTAGGACAATGCCTTTTGAAGATAGCAAGGCACTAAAATAAACTGAATTAGAAAAAGCAATCTATTTAATAGAATTTGATGACTTGAGTTTTTCTGTAAATTTTTTTCCCAATACAAACACAAAAAAATTACTGACATAACCCATTAATACCCACAATATTCTAGTGAATTATGAAATTATAGTAAAATGTCAAAAGTACTGTTAGACTACCAACAGTAAGCACTGAGTAATTTTTTTTTTTTTTAATATATCTTTATTGATTTCAGAGAGAGGAAAGGAGGGGGAGAGAGAGGTAGAAACATCAATGATGAGAGAGTCATTGATCGAGCCCACAACCCGGGCATGTGCCCTGACTGGGAATCGAACCCTGATCGCCTGGATCCTAGGTTGATGCTTAACCGCTGAGCCACGCCCGGCCGGGCTGAGTAATTTTTAAAGCCTTTATCATTTCAAGAAACTTATTCTGCTATTAAGCAAGGTCACCTGTACAATATATCTTTGTTATAACCAGAAGCACACTAAAAGAAACATTGTACTGGATTTTTTCCACCCCTTTATATTATTTTATTTCATCATCATTTATCCCACTATACCCTCCCCCTCCTCCACCCATTCCCCCCACCACAATCACTACACTGTTGTCTGTGTCTATGAGTTCTTTCTTTTTTGTTTTGTTTCTTTTTGTTTGTTTTGTTGCTCAATCCCTTCAACCCCTCAGGCTCCCCACCCCAACCCCTGCCCCAAACTGTCAGGCTGCTCTTTATCTATCTACGAATCTGTTTCTATTATTGGATTTTTATGATGTAAAAGGTATTTGGCCTGTTAGATGTGGCGATTTGAACACACGCATTTATTTCTACTCTGTACAGGAAATCCACTAAAATGATGGTAAAGAAATACAAAAGACATAAACCCACAAGGACAAGGAGGATGCTGAGAGGAGGTGACAGAATATGGTTTGTGCAAGTGCGTAGGCTGTAGGTGAGGGTTTACCTACTCAGACATAAGCCGAAAGCCAGGGCCCTCGCAAGCCCTTTGTGGGCCTGAATCAGGCCCCGTCTTCTGTCACGGGCTTGTACTTTTGTGCTCTTGTACCTACTCTCACCACTCTGTTCAGCATGGTACTGGAAACCCTAGCCAGAGCAGTCAGGCAGGAAAAAAAATAGAAGGCACCCAAATTGGAAAGGAAGAAGTAAGTTATCTTTGTTTGTAGATGATATGATTTTATAAAGATAAAATCCTAGACTCGACTCAAACCAAAAACTGTTAAAACTAATTCATGAATTAAGTAAAGTTGTAGGATACAAAATCGACGTACAGAAATTTGTTTCTGTATACTAAGAATGAACACCTGAAAAAAATAAAGAAAACAATCCCATTCACAGCAGCATCAAAAATAATAAAATACTTAGGAATAAAGCTAACCAAGGAGATGAAAAATCTATACACTGAGAAATACACTGAGGCAAGAAAAAGATAAATAAAATGCTCAAGGCCACACAACCTAGCTGGTAGATAATGGTACTGTATTCAAAACCAGACAGTCTGGTTTAGAACATGCCTTCTTAACCTCTACATTATATGTACTATCTCTTCAAACAAGGCTTATACTTAATTTATAAACTATAAATAATTTTATTACTGGTACTTGCCCAAAACAAAAAATGTTGGAATTTAAAGATATTTCATAATAACAGAGCATATATAATGAAATAAATTTTCTTAATATGAATTTCAAAACAGTCTTATGCTCGATAATAGAAATAATATACTTTGAACTGCATTTCATTTACTCCAATCCATCTACTCACTTTGATTTCTAGCTAAAGCTGACATTGTTACCATTACTGAGTAACGCACACATACTTGGTGTGACTTATTTGAGAAAAAAGTAGCAAAATCACTTTTTTCTGCATCTTCTTAAG